TACATTCCACTTCCTCTTCCCCCATGGCTATGTCTATCAAAGTCAGGCCCACCCAATACTAGCTTTTCTATACCTGTATCTCTTTGTGTGTTTATTTTTATGCTTATTTCTAATCCAAAGTCCCCCCCAACACTCAGAAAACACATTCTGCCCAGTCCCAGAGAGTGGCGCCCACCATGGGGCCAACTGTGATGAACACATGTGACTTCATGTTAATGGTGTTCATTGCCCTGCAAATGACTGCCCATGGAACTGCATTTATGCATGTGTCTAAAGGTCATGTTTGCTCAGAATGGCTACTGCCTCCAGGTTATATCACTGGGACTCCCACGTAGTCAATCAGTTTGAGCCCCAGACCCAGCAGTTTAAAACTCATGCCAGGCAGGGAACCAGCAGTTAGCATAATGGCTATGTTGCTGGACATAGTCGACCGCGGTTCGCATCCTGGACCCGGTGGCTCAAAACTCACACCAGGCGCGTGTGCGTGCGTGCCCAAGATCCCAAGGGGAGAATGGAGGAGAAGGGATTGCAGCGTGACCATCCCCCCTGGGGGGTGATTTCTCGCTTTCTGTCTCTAAGTCTCTCTCTGTTTGTCTGGCGAGCGCACATGCCCTATAGCTAAAAAAAAAAAAAAAAACTCTCAAAAAAAACCCCCCCCAAAACAAAAAACCTCATGCCAGGCACATGTATGCATGTCCAAAATCCCAAGAGGAAAATGGAAAAGGGATTGAGGCATGGCCACCACCCCTAGAGGGTGATTTCTCGCTGTCTCTCCAGTGAGTGCGCACATGCCCTATGGCAATGGCAAAAATCTCTTTAAAAAAAAAAAAAAAAAAGCTACGACTCAATTTCCCCATTTATAAAATGTCTAGAAATATGCAATGCACTGGGTTGCTATGAAGATTAAATATATGAAAAGCTTTTAACTTGTTGGGGGGGGGAGCAGGTGATATCACAGTTAAGGGTGCTAGACTCCCACATGGCCGACCACGGTTCAATTCCTACACCTAGTGGCTTGCTTTCTCACTCCCCTCCTCCACTCTGTCCCTCTCTGTTCAAATTATAAGTAAAGTTAAAGAAAATAATTCTAAAATAATTATTATTATTTTTTAATTTGCCAGAGGGTACATGAGTTTGCTGGAGGCAGACACAGATAGGAAGTGAGAAAAACCCCCATGGGAGATGGTCACAATGCCTTCTCCATCATTACTTTTGGGATATAGGGCATACATGTTCACATGTGATAGGGTTTGTTTCACAAGCTGCTGAGTCTGAGACTCAAGCCACATAGTGGGCAATGTGGGATCCAGTGCATTAACCACCACACCACCAGCTGGCCCCTAAGCACTGTTAAAAGTTTTCTCTTGCTCACAATATTTTCTCCAAGAATCACAACACTATCATGGAAAGAGCAGCATAGCTGGCCAACAAAGTCACCAATCCCAATGCCAGGCTCCGCAGCAAAGCAAATGAGTGGACAGTTCATGTGCACATTTTGTTTACAAATAAAACCACAACCTCCACACCCCCAAAAGCTCTCTCCCATCTCCCAAGTTTTTGAGTCCAGCCAGTGACACAGGTTAAGGCACAAGATCCTACATGGCCAACTTCTTGCCTCAAGTCCCAGACATGGTGGCTTGAAAAACACGCTGAACAAGTGTGCATACAAGCCCAAAATCCTGAGAGAATGAAAGAGATGGGACTGTGGCATGGATAGCCCCCAGGGAGTGCTTTCTCTCTCTCCCCCACCCACCATTCCAGAGAAGGCACATACCCTATGGCAAAAATCTAGAAAAGAAAAAGAACTTGTGCTTAGTATTACAATAAATGTTAGCTAACATCCCTATTTTATAGATGACAAAACTTAAGAGTTTCTGACAGGTCCAAACTCACAAAGCTAAGAGGTAGAACTAAGATTAAGACCTAGGCCATCCCGAGAGGAGAATGGAGGAGAAGGGATTGTGGCATGGCCATCCCCCCCCGGGGGGTGATTTCTCGCTTTCTTTCTCTCTGTCTGTCTGGCTAGCGCATGCACCCTATAGCAAAAAAAAAAAAAAAAAAAAAAAAAAAGATTAAGACCTAGGCCAGCCTGTAGTCAGGTTAGGCAACTGGATTTCTTACGTTCACCTGGGCAGTTTTGAGTCCTGGACGTGGTGGGTTAAGAAACACATTAGACACATATGCATGTTTACCGGTCCAAAATCTCAAAAAGGAGGAAAAAATGGAGAACAGACTACAGAATACCCACTACCCTTGGCAGGGGGGAGTTCTTTCTCACTTTCTCTCTCTCCAGCAAGTACTTAGACCCTCTGATAAATTTTAAAACAAACGCAGGAAACCTGATTTTAGAGACAACTGTCTTGGTCATTTTATCTGTACCAAGTCAGTTTTCAAGTCAAATCCCATCTCCAGCTAGTTAGTCGCTAACCTCTGGGATTGCCATCTCCTCTTCCTTGTCTACCACTATTTATTAGCAATAACTACACTTCAATAAAATAGGTCCTGTTTCCCTTAACTATAAATTCCTAAAGGTCAACCCCAGGGGCTCAGCTACCCGAACGCTGCATGTCAAGACCTACAGACACATTAAATTTCAAACTCTTTTTTAAAATTTATTTATTTTAAGACTTTGCCGTAGGATGCGTGCACTCACCAGTGATAGAGGAAAAGTGAGCAGTTACCCCCTGGGGAGGATGGTCATGCCACAATCCTTTCTCCTCTTGGGATTCTGGGCACACATACACAAACACCCAGCTTGATTTTCAAGTCTCCAGGTTCAGATCTGGAACTATGGTTAGACATGTGAGAGTCCAGTGCCTTAACCACCAAGTGACCTGCTAGCCCCTGAAACCCATTTTGAACATTTCCCCTTTTTTCCTGGAAAACTCTAGACTGAAACCCTGTACGATCTTTTTAAAGCTATCCATAGAGTTTAGCTGAATGTGAATTTTCCATGTTATTCATCTTTGTCTTTATTACTTAAGCTTCTATTACATAGCATACTAGTCCACAAATCTAGTAAATCTATTTTCATTATGACCCCAACCATCCCACAGCCTATTTACTTGGCTTGAACAGGACAAAATGCCTGAAGAACCAAGTCTGTGCACAAACTTTGGCAAACTTAACTAATGGGTATGACTAGAAAAGCTGCCTGCCTATAGAGGCTGACCCCTCAGTGACAGCCCCATTTCTTCTAGTACAGCAGATGGGGCCATATTCCCATTCCAGACAATTTAAAATAAGGTCCAAACCTCAGAAGAGAACAGGCTAACAAGGCTTTTTAGAAAAGCCTTTATGTGGTCTTATTCCAGAAATACACCAAATCAAATGTCTCCAATGAAAGCCAAGTTGTAGAGGTGAGAGGTACAGAAGTTAAATGACCAGAATATACAGAGCCCATTTCCCCAAAATAAACATTAAATGTCTGCCCTCCATTCACTCTACCCAACTTCCCCCAAGTGACAGAACTCTGCAAACCTGAAATCCATAAAAAGCAAAGTATGAGGAGTGAGCTATAGAATTAAGGTAGGTGGCATAATTTAAATAAGTTAACAGCAGAGGGAGATTTTAAAGCAGTCTGTAAGAGAGAAGAAAATGACCAAGTGATTTCTCTCTATAGCTCCTCCTAGCTTGAATGAGAGGCCCAAGGGCTGAGGCATCAGGACCTAAATGTGACAGTGGTTAAGATTTCCTCGGCTTCTTCATTCTGAAAAGTTGGGGTTGCAATAAACACTGTCTTTGAGAGTACAAAAGCTGTTTTTTGCTGGAACTATGAGACTGAGACAGTGGCCAAACCCTCATGGGAAAGATAAGAAAAACCAAATTGACAAAGAAATATTGCAAAAACATAGGCCACAATCACAGTCCTATCATAGACCCTCAATTTTCCAGGGGTAACCAAAGCTAGGTTTGGTAGCTTACCCCTCAGATCATGCCACTGTCACACAGAAAAGTAATAAGAAACCTATCAAACTCATCCTCTCATTCTTCCCCAGTCCTAAAAAGAAAGGAAAAGGAGCAGCAAAGCATCTGAAGGCAAAGCGGTGAGCAGAGATAAATAAAGAAAAGAGCTACAGTCCCATTACTCCCTAAGGTCATCCAGACAGCATCCACAAATAAGAGCTCATGGTCACAATGCTGGGCAGAGGAAGAAGACATCTAGGACAAAAACTGTCACAAGCAAGTTCACATGAAGCCAGTGAAAGAGGCAGAAGACAACCCACCTGTATTCCACCTGACTGACACACAATCCTCTCCAAGTCACCTTGCCCCAGCAGGCTTCTAAATCAACTCTCTAAAGTCCCCTTTCCCAAAGGACAGTCGGCAGGTTTTTCTGTTACCACCCTACTCAATAGGTCATCTTCAGTCACTAATCATTAAGCCTAAACCTCCACCTTGTCCCTGGAGTGGAATTGCTGTACTTTTTACCCATGTCCTCAAACCCAGCCCTGGAATAAAAGTATAGAAAGAATCCTTAATTTCTTACTAAATTTCAATATCCGTACTTGGTTATGCGTGAGTCTACCACAATACCTTCAGATATAAACCCAGCAAGATGGCACCTAAAAGCCCTAACACATGGGTAGAGCAGAAGGCGTCTCAGGTGACGATGATGGCAGGGGTTGGCAGGACGCAGGAAGAACACTCCATGGTGAAGTTCAACAGGCGAAATACCTAGGCCCTCGGTCATAATGTCAATTGTTTGTCCCACCTTTATCCAATTACAGGGCAGTACCAGACACATCACCCCATCCCAATAACGGCTCCTTTCCAGGTCCCAGCCCCAGCATTCATTCAAGCCCATTGCCTTAAGGATCCATTAGCTTATAAATACCACCACAGCCCATTCTCCACTTCTGGGGAAGCCAAAACCCAGAACCACCCAGATGGAACAGAGACTGTTTCTGAACTGCAGAAAAGTCAAAGAAATTGGTCAAGTAAAGGCAGAGGAAAATGAGCATTATTTACTGCATTTTGGTGTGATTCATTCAAGTTGAGAGCTGAAGAAGTCCAAGCCACTGGGTCTGGACTCTCCAGTTCTAAAGATGGCAGGCTAGCAGCAGGAGGAGGAGGACGACGACGACGACGACGAGGTGCTAGATCCTTCTGGGCAGAAGGAAAATCATTCTACTTCTTGTATTCAAGCCCCTTTCCTCATCCACCCTGGGTTCTGATTGCCTTCCCTTTAGCTGTCATGTCTTCCTGGATGTCAAACTGGCTCCTCTGACTCTGAGTGCAATCAAGACAATGACAACCAGGTTTCCAAACTGCAAATTGCCCCAAGTTTTATTTGTAGTCCATACAAAAGGGAAAAAAATTTAAGGTTTTCTAACACCACCTACTTGGGGAGCTGGGGAAGTAGAACTGTGCTGCTCACCATCAGCTAGAACATCAGTGGTCAGGAGGGATTCGGACACATACCACCTGACTGTCCCAATAGGAACTCAGTCTCAACACAGTTTACAGAGGGACAGTTAGGGCCTCCTGGACTGTTGGCACAGCTCGGTACATGGGAAACGGTTAAGCAACCCTTTCCTGGCCTCCTTCACATCTAAAAAGAAAAAGGCGCCGCCGCAGGTTGCTTCCCCATCCAGACGACCTTAAATATCGCGCACAAAAATAAAAGGGAGCCAAGAAAAAAAAAAAAAAACATAAAAGAAATTCCCATTCTGGGGAGATGGGAGGCAGGGTAGAGGGGAAACCGCAGATCTAGAGCCAGTAGCAAGATTTGCTGCTGAGGCGAAGGAACAAAGTAGGTTACTGCCGAAAAGAAAATATAAAGGATGAAAAAATGAAAGGGGACAAAGAAAAAAAAAAAAAAACATAAAAGAAATTCCCATTCTGGGGAGATGGGAGGCAGGGTAGAGGGGAAACCGCAGATCTAGAGCCAGTAGCAAGATTTGCTGCTGAGGCGAAGGAACAAAGTAGGTTACTGCCGAACACTCAAAAGAATCATGTCCTGGGGAAGGCCCACATCAGAGGGGATGAAAAACCGCAACTGGGAGAAGTATGGGCCAGAGTAGTTACAGTCTGGGTCTGCACTCTACGCACTTCTCTCGCTCCCTCCCTGTGGTGCCCCTTTCCCCAGGATGGCCCTACATGCGGCGCTGGTAGCCAGAGTGCATCTGAGCTGCCCGCAGGTAATCATTATAGGAGCCCGAATAGCGTGCGTAATCGGAATGGGCATCGGGCAGGCGACGGTAATCCAGCGAGGACTTTGTCGGCGAGCGGCGGAACGAAAGCTGCGACTCTGATAAACGGCGGTAATCAGAGAGCTCGGCTAAACGCCGGTCGGAACCATACCTAGTCGAGAGAAGAAGACAGTTGGTGAATGAGACAATTGAGGGAGAGGGCTCCAGGTGGGCATGGGGGAGATGCCAGTGGGGACAGGGAGGGTGTGATCAGATTGGTCTCCAACAGAATGGTCTCCCTTTGTCAGAAGGCTTATCACCCTATCCAGGCCAAGAAACCAAACCTGGATTCAAACTCAGTAGGAAACCAAGCCCTCTACTAAAGCCCTCACTTCCAAAGTGGCCAAGGTGGATTTTGGTCTACATTCCCAAAATACAAACAATTCCCACCCCTGGGCCATGCACCAAAAGACCTTGATCATTTCTCAACAGAACGGCGGATAAAAGCAAGGTCCCCAACTTCCCAGAGTGGACGCACCTCAAAGTTCCTTCAGCCAGTGAGTGCCAAAGGGACTATTCTTTTACATCCACCCCCACCAAAGCCAGGACAACCACATAACAGGTTATGTATCCTTGAGATAATGGATAAGGCTATGGGGCCTTAATCCTGCAGGCAGTAGCTCCAGTAACATATGGGCTAGCCTAAACAGGTAATACCTTTTCTGGCCTGACTAGCTGGCACCACCCCAGGCTGAGCACTATGCTCCACCCGAACCCTGGTAACCAGAAAAGTTCAGATACTGCCCCCCTCGGCCTCTGGACATCCCATAGGAGAAAAGGAGAGAAGACCGAGGGAGGGGCCGATGGCTCCAGTTTCCCTCCCATGCCAACCTCAGCCCCTTGCCCTAAGCCCCAGCTGGGGGCAGAGGCGGGGAGGGGGGCATACAGTACCTTTTCGACATGGCGACAGCCTTTTTGTAGGGATCGTCGTAGCTGGCCCGGGGTGGGGAGAGGCGCGTACGCTCATAGGGCGGCGGGGTGCTGTTGGCGTTGGCAACGGCCCCCTGGGACATGGACAGGTAGGCTGCAGACGGCTGACCTGCCCCATCGTAGGCATTGCCCGGCTGGCCACGGTAGGAGGCAGCAGCCTGGGGATGCTGCTGAGCAGCATAGGAAGCAGCCAATGAGGCTGATGACTGAGTGCGGTAAGGAGCTGCCAGGGTGGCAGACGGCTGGGCCCCATAGGCAGCTGCGGCACCGTAGGAACCAGTGGCTGCAGCAGCTGACTGAGCCCCATAGGAGCCTGACAGGCCCATTGATGCTTGAGCAACATAATTATTCAGCTGGGTCTGGACAACCGGTTGAGCCCCATAAGAACCAGCCATTGGGGTAGTGGCTTGTGCAGCATAGGCGGCTGGCTGGCTGGCATAGGCAGCAGCTGCAGCTGGCTGTGCCACATAGGCAGCAGGCTGGGAAGAGTAGGAAGCAGCCTGTTGTGCAGCATATGGGGCAGACTGGGCACTGTAAGAGGCCGAGGGCTGGGCATTGTAAGAAGCTGCTTGGGCTCCATAAGCTAATGAAGAGGCTGCAGACTGGGCCCCATAGGAAGCTGCCTGAGCCCCATAGGAACTTAGAGAGGAAGCTGCACCCTGGGTGTTGTAGGAGGAAGCAGCCGCACGAACCCCATAGGAAGAGGCAGCCTGGGCGCCATAAGAGGATGGCTGATTACCATAGGAGGCAAGGGAGGAGCCCTGAGCTCCATAGGAGTTGAGCGAAGAAGCTGCAGCCGCCTGACCCCCATAGGAGGAGAGGGCCGAGGCTGAAGGCTGGGCTCCACCATATGGGCCGAGCGAGGAAGCTGCAGCAGACTGGGAACTAGGGCTAGCCAGCTGGCCCCTATATGGGGCCCCAAGGGAAACAGAGGGCTGAGCGCGGTAAGAGGCTGCCTGGGCTGTCATGGGCTGAGTCCGATAGCCAACACCCAAAGAGGCAGAAGGCTGGGCCCTGTAGGCAGCTCCCAGAGACACTGAGGGCTGGGCCCGGTAGGTGGCTGGTTGGGCCGTCAGAGGAGCCACATAAGAGGCTCGGGGAGGTGAACGGCGCAGGGGGCTGCGGTCGCGACCAAAGAAGGGTGGTGTGGGCTGACGGGCCTGCCCATCAAAGCCACCAGTGCTGTTGCCAAAAGCCTGCTGGTAGTCGAAGGTGGCAGAGAAGCCACCAGTTCCAGGGAATGCGGTATCCCCAGCCCCTGGTTTCTTGGTCTTGTCCCCAGACTGGATAGCCAGGCCAGGCCCTTTCTTCTGACCCTTGGTTGAGAGTTCCACGTTGATGCGCTTGCCCTTCACTTCTTTGCCGTTGAGCTGCGCGATGGCGGCTTTGGCATCTGCTTCCTTCTCCATGTGAACAAACGCGTAGTCTGATAAAGCAGCAGACAAAGGGTTAGCGATTAGGGGGGCAGGGCATGCTATCAGGTGGGTCCCAAATTGGACACACAACAGCACCCAGCTGTTGCCAGCTACCTCAAAGGCCTCCAAACCCTCCTCTCCAGGAGTATGTCAGTGGCTCCCATATAACAAAGCTTCTGACTGTTCTAGGCAGTCACTTTTGCCTATGGCCTTTTTCCCATTCTCCCCTGTCCCCAGCCACCTCACCCAACTTCCTGGTGAGAGAAGAAAGAGCAAGATGAGCTGCAACACAGGATAAAAATCTTCACAGTGCCTGTAAGTATAAACCAGCAGACAAAACGCAGAAAGGGTTCCTGTACCACTCAATTATTCAGTATTCTCAACCCAAGCTCGCCAAACACTACTGCTCACCTTTGAGGCTCAGCTCTCAAATACTGAAAATGACCACTCATATTTTGGCATGACCCATCATCTCAGCTGGTTCAATTAAGGCAAGATAGTTATTAGACTGCAATGAGCAAGAAGTTCACAAAACTCCTAAAATATGATCTCCCACCTTTTTCATAATACTTCACAGTTTTCAAAGCACCTTCATGCAAAAGACTTCATTTGGGACTCACAACAATCCTGTGAGGTAGACAGGACAAAGGAGCATCACCTCCATTTTACAGATATGCAATGTGCTCAGAGATTTTATATGGCTTGCTCTAAATCAAGGTGTGCTAGAACCAGGACCAGAATCTCAGCTCTTCCATGTTCCTTCCTTTCCTATTACGAGATTAACCCTGAGAAGTCAATGTATAAGGCAGGACTGTGTAACATGACTATAAAAATTAAGCCTAGAGGAGAAGTTGGACCCTACATAACTCAATGAGAAAATGGAAACTAAGTCTCCAGGCCACTTTACATCCTTTACCCCCTTTCTTCTTTCAGAGACACAGGTATACTTTACCCCTTGGGCTTCTGTTTATAGAGCAGACTTATAGGGAAGACCTAAAATCTTGGTTACAAGGCAAGAAGCTGAAAATACTGTAGCTAGCAGGCCCTGCTAAACAGGTACTCCCTGAGGCTCTTATTCAAGAGGTGAATGAACTGTGGTGAAGGATTTAAGAAAGGATGTTGATCTCAAAGTGCTACTCATCCACTGCATCAGGAGGAAAACATTTTAAGAGTGGGAAGGACTGGGAAGAAAATCTTGTTCACGTCCATACTTATATACCACAACGATACAAGCACAATCTGAAGAGCAATGATAGATCCTGTCCCTGAGATATAAGGCCCCACACTTAACTCCATTCTGAACCTGTGGTTACTTTTAGAATCCAACTGCCAGGATCCAATCTCCATCCCATCAGTTTAAGAAATGAAAAGCTACCTGGATAAAATTACTTAGGTTCTACATTCCAAATAAGAAATCCTTTTGGGGACCAGCAGATGGCATGGTGGTTAAAGCCCTAGATACTACCACATGGCCGAACACGGTTTGAGTCCTGGATCTGGTGGCTTGCTTTCCTACTTTCCCTCTGCACACTCTCTCTCTCTGATCAAATTAAAATGAATGAATGAATAAATAAAATTGAATAATTCTTTTTAAAAAAATCCTTTTAATGGTTTTCAAATGAGTATCCTAATTCTTAGAAACTTTCATAGGAGATTGTACTTTTTTCTTTTTTGGAGAGGTTTTTGCTAGAGGGTACATGCACCCACCAGAAGCTAGAAAGACAGAGAGCCAGAGACAGAAAACGAGAACCTTCCCCAGGGGGGATGGCCACTTCGCAATCCCTTCTCCATTCTCCTCTCGGGATCTTGGGCATGCACACACACATGCCCAGCACACACATGTGCCCGGCGTGAGTTTAAGCCACCAGGTCCAGGACTCAGACCACGGTCGACTTCATGGGAGTCCAGCGACTAAGGCCCTGGACTCCCACATGGTCCCAGGAAACTGCTCTCTTTAGGTGCTCTTACAGAACTCATTTCCCTGGATGTGGAGGATGCCACCAACCTCCTAACAACAGGATTAGAAATACAATCAATAAATACAAGTTAGAAATGTGTTATACAAACAAGGGATCCTGGGCTAAGAAATAAAAGGTCTCAGTTCTAGATACAGATATTACTAACTTGTTGTAAGATCTTAATGAACTTAGCTTTTATCTCCCCATATAACGAATCTATCCTACCTACCTCAAAGTTAGGGGTTTCAAGTGAGAAATGCCTTGGAAGACATAAAAAGCTATAGAATGATAATTATGAATTATGATGATTCAAAACTAGAAATAACTAGAAGCTTATTTTCCTACAAAATACTATTTTTCATCTTTGATAAGACACAATACCATCTATATATGCAAACTGGAAACCTTCCCAGAGTTGACAGAACAAAATGAACTATTTTAGGTCTCACTCCTCAATACTCCTGTGGCTACAGAGTCGGATTCCTTAACCATCAACTTAAGAAAATATAGCTGTTCTTTTCAGCCTAGGCTTAGGGTACTACAACAGTCCTCTGATGGCTCATCTCCACTTCAGATAGAGTGCACTAAAAATAGTTGATAGCTGAACCTCTGAAATAATAAAACCACCTACAGGATGCAAAGGTAAGCAGAAACACCATTAAAAGTAAAGAGAAAGTAAAGTAGGAAGAGTTGCTGGCTGAAGCTGGGTGACAACCTCCGAGCACTGTGAGGACATATTAAGAAACCATCCTATAATACTGATTATTCTATCCACAAATTACTGAGTCTAGAATGAGCTAGGAAAAACACCCAATAAAAATTTCAATGGAGGACCAGCAGGTGGCATGGTGGTTAAGGCCCTGGACTCCCACATGGCTGATACTGGTTTGAATCCCAGACTTGGTGTTTTGTTTTCTCATTTTCCCTCTCTTTTTCTGCTGAGCACAAGTGTCCTATTGCAAACTTTAAAAAATAATAATAATAAAATTAATTTTTAAAAAATGTCAATAGGTTTACAAGAACCATCAGATATCCCATTGTCAACTTCCTGCCTAGCTGAGTTTTAAGAGTGGTACAAGGGGCCAGCAGGTGGTGTGGTGGTTTAGGCACTGGACTCCCACATGGCCAACCACAGTTGGAGTTCTGGACCCAGTGGATTCACACATGGCCAATCATAGTCCGAGCCCCAAACCTGGTGGCTTCAAAATCACACCGGGTGCGCAAGCATGCATGCCCAAAACCCTAGAAGGAGAATGGAGAAGGGATTGTAGCGCAGTGGGCTGATTTTTCACTCCCCATTCCACTGTTTGTCTCCTTCCTCTCTCTGGCAAGCACACAAGCCCTCAGGCAAAAACCTCTATTTTTAAAAAAAGACAAAAAACAGTGTTATAATTTTGGGGCTAGTAGTTGGGGAGAAGTTAGGGTGCTGGACTTCTACATGGCTGACTAGTTTTAGTGCCAGACCTAGCAGCTTGCTTTCTCACTCTTCCCCCTGCCCCTCTCTCTCTGGTGAGGACATGTACCCTATAGCAAGTTAAAAATATAATAAATAAAATTTAATTAAATAATTCTAAAAAAAGTGGTATAAATTTTTTAATTTTAGATTTTATATGTACAAGTCAATTGATCACCTAGATAGCACTGATTAAAAAAAATAAAAGCGGGACCGCAGTTGGAGTAATGGCTAAGTCAATGGACTCCCATGTAGTCGACTGTGGTTTGAGTCCCGGACCCAGCGGCTTAAACTCATGCAGGGCACGTGTGCGTGTGTGCCCAAGATCCCAAGAGGAGAATGGAGAAGGGATTACAGCATGGCCATCCCCCCTGGGGGGTAATTTCTCGCTTTCTGTCTCTGTCTTTCTGGCGAGCTCAAGCACTCTATAGCAAAAGATAAATAAATAAATAAAAGCTATCTGCTACAATTATAAACACATTATATCAGGAAAGTTTCTAAGCCTAATATCAGAATGAAGTGTGGGAGGGGGGTAATGGTTATGTCACTGGACTCCACTCGATCGTGGTTCGAGTCCTGGACCCAGTGGCTTAAATTCATGCTGTGTGTGTGTGTGTGCGTGCACGCACACGTGCCCAAAATCACCAGAGGAGAATGAAAGAGAAGAGATTGCAGGGTGGTCATTCCCCAAGGGGTGACTTCTCACTTTTTGTCTAGAGCTCTGTCTTTCTGGGAAGCACACGCACCCTATAGCCAAAAAAAAAAAAAAAAAAAAAAGTGTGGGGGCCAAGAGGTGGCGTGGTAGTTAAAGGTGCCAGATTCCCACATGGCCAACCACAGTTCGATTCCCGGATCTGGTGGCTTGCTCTCTTGCTTTCCCTTTCTTTCTCTCTCTCTGTCTCTGTCTGGTCAAACTTCAGCCAAACTCAGACCTAGCCTTATCAAAGATGCCCAGCATTGGACCAGCAGATGGTGTAATGGTTATGTCGCTGGATTTCCACATAGTCGATTGCAGCTTGAGTTCTGGATCCAGAGACTTAAAACTCACACCGGATGTGCATGCATGTGTGCCCAAAATCCCAAGAAGAGACTAGAGGAGAAGGGACTGCAGCATGGCCATCCCTCCTGGGGGATGATTTCTCACTTTCTGTCTGTCTCTGTGGCGAGCACACATACCATATAGCAAAATTTCTTAAAATAAATAAATAAATAAAGATGCCCAGTAACCCAACTACTCCTGGAACAATGAAAAAAAAAAAAAAAAAATCCCAGAGATCTGAAGAACTGCAGGACCCACTTGTCTTGACAGCTAGTTCAAGAAAAACTCCGAAAGAAATCACTGCCTTGGGACTAGCAAGTAATTTTTATTTTAAGGTTTTTGCCATAGGGTGGGTGTACTTGCCAGAGACACTGAAATGGAAAGAGAGTAATCACCCACAGGAGGATGGCTACACTGTAAACCTTCTCCTCCATTCCCCTCCTGGGATTTTGGGCATTCATGTACGCACACACCCAGCATAATTTTCAAGTTACCAGGTCCTAAACTCAAACCACTATAGACCATGTCAGAGTCTAGCACCTTAACCGCTTCGCCACCTGCTGGCCCCAATGAGTAGGTAATGTATGTTTGTTTAAGATCTATTTAATTTTACTTGTTATTATTATTTATTTTTTAATTTGACTAGAGAGAGACAGAAAGAGAGAAGGAAAGGGAGAAAGCAAGGCACCAGGTCCGCAGGACTTGAATCACTGTTGGCTGTGTGGGAGTCCAGCACCCTAACTACTACTCCACCTGCAGGCCCCAAGCAGGTAATATTTTACAGAGAGCTCCTAATGGGTCTGGTGGCATCACCAATTCCTCCAGTATCAAAGAGCATCAAGAAAAATTAGTTGTCCTCTCCGGAAAAGATAAAAATCTTTTTATTTGAAACTAGAGTTCTGTATTGGAAAAAAGAGGTATTCTCCTCTTGTGCCCTTCAGACCTCTCCTGAAGTCTGTAAATGGTTCCTGAAGCTGTCCATCTCTGACACCCAGTAGGAGTTTGCTGTGGAGAACAGCTATGCAATGGAGATTTTTGATCTACAAATCATACCTAAGCTCTTAATAACCAAGCAATTGTTTTCTTTCCTCTGAAATAACAGAGATGGCTATCCTGTACAATATCAAGCTTCTGAGCTTTTCAAAGACCTGACAACCAACATGAGACTCAAATGCCCATTCCCAGCCCAAGAAATGAGTAAACTATTTATTTAATCAGAGTCAATCTCTTCTACATTCCCAACTTCAAAACCTCAATTTGCTTCACTCCATAGAGACACAAAAGAATCAGTGGAGAATTATAGAGCTCAAATCTTCCCCAGTCTCTTTCATTAACGTATATCATCAGTGTTGTTACAAACCAGCATAACTACAAATAACAGCTGAACACCACTCCCTGAAGAAGTCATGCATTTCTGATAATCAAACTTTTACAAAGGGACAAAATGTACAAAATTTTCCCTGACTCTTGCAAGGAAATTATTCAAGAGTTCTAAAACCGTGTGTGCAGTTAATATATGCTTTATTCCCACTGTCATTTGGTGTTAGTACCTAACAAATTCAAGTTATTTTGCCTTCTCCATCACTCAAAGCAAGCTTTTTGAGCACAGTATACATTCCATGGAGACTGTCCCCTCAGATGGATTCTAGACTCTCAATCTAGTAGCCCACCTTGCCTAAGAACCACAAAAGAAACCTGGTAAGTCAATTAAACACCAAACCCTCTCAAAGACTCATACCCATCCAATTGCTGGCTAAGTACCCAATCTAAGACCCGCCCCCACTCTTTCACTCTAAACAAAAGCAAAAATCCATGCACCATACAGCCTGCCTCAGAGCACCCAGCAGGAAAGCCCGACTCCGGATAGTTGTAGACTTGCATAACCTGAGTTGAGGAAAATAGAATGCAGTATTAATGAAGAACAAGGACTTGCTCTTAGTGGTGGAGACTATGACCCTTTACACTTACCCCACTTACAGAAAGGACAAGGAATGGCCCAAAAGATGTGCATTTCCAGGAAAGCAAATGAAATATCTTGGTGGGAATGAATAATCACCTGCACCCACATTTATTTCCTATCCTCAAAACTTCTTGCACAGGGTACAAGCAGGTACAAACCCAACACCAGGAGTAGGGCATCCGATACTCCCGGGTTGCATCCTTGAAGATGACAGGAAAAGTTAACTAATCTGTTCCCAAGTGGAACAGACTGGCCACATACACGAGGGTAATCCCACCAAATCTTGCCAACATAAAAGAAAAGCTTAGGGGTTAAGAATCCATATCCTGTAAAAAGTCAACTGGGTCCCAAAAAGGAAGTCAGGCCTAAATTAGGGTGACACATTTTTCTCAAAAGATCTGCCCCGAGGAGTAGAATACTCAAGCAATGACTACTGAGTAAAGTTAAAGTGTGTTTAGCCAATGTTTAACAATCTTGCACACACTCCTCCCCACGTGCCCCTCAGCCAGAGTATGCCCCCTTGCAAAGTCACTAGCTTATAAAAGATGACACTGCCCTGGGGCACAGGCCTGGCAAGTAAAGGCTATGCTAAAGGGGCCTTCATAAAACAAGTCTCCTTTCACATGCAAAAGATCTGGGTTTCCAGTAGATGTAAAATCGAGCCCAAAGGAAAAAACTTCAGTTTGAGGGAGCTGGAAAGCACAAATGCCGCCACGCCTAATCCATCTAATACTGAAAGGCCAAAATAGGTCGGAGGGAGGCCGTCCTGTACCCACGAGTGAATAGACCCATGTCAGACAATACTAAGAGAAACCCCAGCCCAAGCAATGTCCAAGGGCCCCGTTACCTTCCACTTGGGCGCATTCATCGGGAGGGAACACGAGGGCGGCCTTGGGGCATCAGCCCCCACCTTTTCCCTCTTCCCTTGATCTGACCGACGTCTGGCGAGGAAGTGGGGAAGAGGCGAAATCTTCCCCGCTCCAAGATCCGGCTTGTGCCCGTCACTTCCCAATTTCCGCTCTGTGCCAGGCCCAGGAGACCAGGAGAAGGCGCGCCCCCGGTACACTCGCAAGTCTCTCAGGCGCGTCCCCGGCCCCGAAGCTCGGCTCGCAGTGGCCACAGCACCCACCCAAAGCCGCTTTCCTCCCACTTGGTGAATGGTACCTGGACCGCAGGGGAAGGGGAGTGACTCTACCCAAGGCGACCCCAACACCTCCGGCCACGCTCCCGCGCACTTCCCCACCCCTCCCAACCGCGCAGTGACCGACCCCCGGGTAAGGGGCGTGGCTAACAGGCTGAGTGCCCCGAGCGCGCCCCCGCCCGAGCGCGCCCCCGTTACCTTTTACCACGTCACACTCAATGACGCGTCCGCGGCGCTCGAAGAGGCTGTGCAATTCCTGGCTTGTGCATGCAGCCGACACATTGCCCACGAAAATCTTCCAAGTGTTAAGAGGCCTTGGGCGCGACATCTCCACCACGAGTGCGCGCCCCGGCCTCAGCTCGTGGCCGTGCAGGGCCTCGATGGCGCGCAGCGCTCCCGCGTTCTCGCGCATGTGCACGAAGGCGAACTGTTTCATGACGGCGCAGCTCATGACCGTGCCGTAGGGCGCGAAAAGGGCTGCCAGCTCTTCCGGCGTTGTATCCGCCCCATCGACGTTACCCACGAAAATCTTCATTTTGCCGCTGCAGTCGCCTTCCCGGAGAGCGGGGACCTCTCCGCCAGCGACAGGCCAGACGTCCGACTGACCGGCAGTCCTCCCCAGGAATGGCTGGCGACCGAGTACCCCGCCGCGCAGGCGCCTTCACCTAGCCAATCAGGACCCGCACCCCGCGGGTACCTCAGCCAATCAGAAAGGCTGGGAGAAGATGCACTCGAGCGCAGCCTATCCCAGAGAGCCTGGAGCCCGCTGGGGGAGGGGGAAAGAGGGTTGGCGTAAGAGGGAACGCGCGCTGGGGTGCGCCGGCCGCGCAGAGGCCTAGTTCGTGAGTCGGCCTCTAGCCCGGGTGGGGCCGGGACTAGCTGGCCCCAAGGAAAAACTTTGTTTCGACGGAAGTTAGGGCTCCTCCCATTCTGGCTGCTTTTACCTAATTCGCCCGTAGAGGTGGCTGAGTGTATGTTGTCCACGGGAAGACCGGTCCTGGCGGGAGAAACGAAGACGAACAACTTCAACAAACGGCTCCCGAGTCTGCAGGAGCCCAGGATTGGGCTGTTCAGTCCGAGGGGCCCTCAGAGACTTCTGTCTGCCTGAAAGAGACCCTAGTGCCCTTAATTTCTTCTTCACTATTTATTAGGTTTTTGCCATCGCTGCAGAGACAGAGACGAAGAGAGGGACAGTGAAAAATTACACACACACCCCCCTCCCCATGGCCATGCTGCAATCCCTTCTCCATTCTCTCAGAATTTTGGGCAGGCAGCACATGCACCTGGCGAGATTTTCAAGCCTCCAGGTCCAGGAATTTATCCCTGGTTGCCCAGTGCTTTAACCACCATGCCACCTCCTATGAATTTGACACTCTAGGTACTTCGTATAAGCAGAATCATGCAAATATTTGTCCTTTTGTGACTGGCTTACATCAAGCAGCATAATGTCTTCAAGATTCATCCATATTGTGGACTGTATCAAAATTTCCTTCCCAAGTCAGGTCACCTTTTTTGTTGTTATAAGGTGCATGCGCTCGCCAGACAGAGACAGAGGGAGAGAAACTGAGAAACTACGAAGTCACTAGCGGGGAGATGACCAATCCCTTCTCCTCCAGTCTTTTCTAGGGATTTTGGGCATGCACGCACATGTGCCCAGTGTGATTTTCAAGCTGCCAGGTTCAGGACTTGAACTGCAGACAACCATGTGGGAGTCCAGCACCTTAGCTATCATGCCAAATGCTGGGCCCTGGATTTTTTTTTTTAATTAAGTATAATTTAAATACAGTGACAATTACCCTTTCCCATATACAGTTCTTCAAGTTTTGGCAAACATATACAGTAATGAACCCACCACTGCAGTTGAGATATAGAACAGTTCTTTCACCCTAAAAAGCGTTTTTTGTTTTTTTTTGTTTTTTTTAAGATTTTTGTCATAGGGTACATGGGCTGCCAGGGAAGAGACAGAGAGATACAATGAGAAACAGTGAGAGGAAAAGTAAGAAATCACCCCCCAGGGGATGACCACACTGCAATCCCTTCTCCTAGGATTTTGGGCACATATGCGCATCTACCCACATATGCGCCCAGCATAATTTTCAAGCCACCAATTCTGGGACTTGAAGTACAGGTGACCTCACGGGAGTCCAGCACCTTAATTTCTATGCCACCTTCTGGTCCAACTAAAAAGCTTTCTTCTACTGCCACATCTACTGGCAAACACTTATCTGTTTTCTTTCACTACAGTTTTGCCTTTTCCAAAACATTATGTAAATAGAGTCATACGGTATGTAGCTTTTGAGTCTACTTTCTTTTTTTTAATGTATTTTTTAAGAATTATTTTATTTTAACTTTATTTATTATTATTGTTACTTTCCAGTTTTATCAGACAGACAGAGAGAGAGAGAGGGAAAGTGAGAAAGCAAGTCACCAGATTCAGGACTTGAACCACGGTTGGCCATGTGGGAGTCCAGCACCTTTAACCACCACGCCACCTGCCAGCCCCAAATCTACTTTCTTTTTATTTATTTATTTTTTGGTCTTACAACTTTATTTGAAAATCAGCAATTCTTATCCACGTTGACTGTACATTTTTAAAAATGATAATAGGTACATAAGTCATCGGAGTGTAGAGCTTGTTGGGTGAATCTCATCCTCATTATGTTTCCTGGACAACCACACACAGATATGATATGGGACGTTCCTTATTCCTTTGGCCCAAACAGCTTTGTTGGGTCTGGTATCAATGTGCACATCTAGAGTCCCTACCTCCTTCATGGCAAATTTCCGGATCTCTTTGAGTGGCTGAGGGGCACATTTCTTGAGGCCCACACCATGGATGGGCTTGTGAATGTTGATGGTATATTACCAGCTCACCACCTCGTTGATGGTGAAGGGCAGAATGGCCCTTCTTCTCACCACCCTTCTTTGCAGGAGCCATTCTGCCCAGCCTAAGTTGGAAAGCTTAAGTCTGCTTTCTTTCACTTAGCGCAATAGATTTACTATTCATCTATGTCATTGATGTCATTGTATCTGTAGTTAGTTTTTTTTTATTGATAATTTATGTTGTATAGATGTACCAGTTTGTTTTTCTATTCCACAGTTAAAGACATCTAAATTGTTTTTTTAAGAATTATGTATTATTATTATTTTTAATATTATTTTTCATGTGAGTTTTGCCAGAGAAAGACAGAGAGAGAGAGAGAGAGAAAACCACCAGGTCCAGGACTCAAACTATGACGGGTCATATGGGAATTCCAGCACCTTAACCACCATGCCAACTGCTGGCCCAAGACATCTAAATTATTTGCAGTGTTGGGCAACAATGATTAAAATTTATGTACAAGTATTTATGCAAACAGAAAAAAAAATTCTTCTTATTGCCAGAGAGCACAAGCACTCACCAAAGAGAAAGGCAGAGAGAAAGGGAAAAAGCACTCCTCAACAGGGAATGTTCACACCACAATTCACCTTCCTCCATTTCTGCATCCTGTGAGGACTTGGGGCACTCATACGCATGCTCCTGGTATGTTTTTCAAGCCACTGAGGCTGGTATTCAAACTATAAGGTTGACTTTCTGAGATCCAGCTGCCTTAACCACCAAGCCACAGAGACAGCCCTGCAAACAAAAATTTTAATATGTCTTGATAAATATCTATGAAGCACAAGATCATTTTGAATGATAAAAACTATAAAGTGTTGAGCACTGTGTAAGACACATAGTAAGAAGTTAATAAATGGAGTTATTAGGAAAGTTTGCTAAAGAATTCTATTACAAGTCAAATGAAAAGAATATTTATAGCATTCTACTAGAATTTTATTAAGCATGTACTATTGGATCATCAGAAAAGTCATGACACATTTTTGCATAGAAAAATATGTCATGGCGGCCAGCAGATGGTGTGGTTGTTAAGGTGTTGGACTCCCACATGGCCAACCACAGTTCGAGTCCCAGACCTAGAGGCTTTCTTTCTCACTTTCCCTCTCTCTGTTTCGCTGTCTCTCTGGACAAATTGAAAAATAATGATATTGAATAAATTAAATAAAATAATTCCTTAGGGAAAAAATAAGAAAAACACATCATGATTTTCCTGACAACCCAATATACGACAGGCATTTTTCTAGTTTCTGCTGCAACATTCATTTAAAATTATGATGTCTTGTATGTGTTTAATCCAAAAACACAAATCATTTGTTTTTAATCATACCTAATTACCCAAATTTGTCATTTCTTGGTAACAACACTAGACTGTGCCTCTTCACCTCTACCAGGTTTTCTGACGTGTCTATGACAAAAGATTATTTTTTTATTATTTTTTTTTTTTGGAGAGGTTTTTGCTACAGGGCACATGCGCTCGCCAGAAAGACAGAGAGAGACAGAAAGTGAGAAATCACCCCCCGGGGGATGGCCACACCACAATCCCTTCTCCTTCATTCTCCTCTCAGGATCTTGGCCACCCCCACCCACGCACCCGGCATGAGTTTAAGCCACCAGGTCTGGGACTTGAACCATGGTCGACTACATGGGAGTCCAGCAACATAGCCATTATGCCAATTGCTGGTCCCCAAAAGATTATTTTAAACATCATGATTATGCCAGAGAATAGGGTCTATGCCACTTTTCTATCTAAAAACCTTTGTACTTTCATATAAAGATCCAAAGCTTCAATAAAACATATACTTGAAATACTTATATCATACTACTTTCCCCAAAAAAACTGAAATGACTTACAGAAGAAGGAATTTTTGAAAAATAAATCATAGTTTAGGACCAGCAGATGGCATAATGGTTATATTGTTGGACTCCCATGTAGTTGACCTGATTCAAGTCCTGGTCCTCGTGGCTTAAAACTCACACTGGGCATATGTGTGTGGGTGCCCAAAATCCTGAGAGGAGAATGGAGAAGGGCTTGCAGCATGGCCATCCCCCCTGGAGGGTGATTTCTCACTTTCTGTCTCTCTATCTCTCCAGTGAGCACATGTGCCCTATAGCAAAAATGTCTCCAGGAAAAAAAAAAAGAAAAAAATATAAACTATAGGTCAAAATCATGAAAAGAAAGAAAAATATTTTCACCAGCAGGCTAAATATAGGTATTGAGGATTCTCAACCCTTTTTCATTATCACTCCCAATAAGTCTTAGACATTTTTTAAGAATGATTTAATTTTATTTATTAGTATTTTTTAAATTTGCTATAGGATACATGTGCTTTCAGAGAGAGCGAGAGAGGGAAAGTGAGAAAGCAAGCTGCCAGGCGTTCCAAGACTTGAACCATAGTTGGCCATGTGGGAGTTCAGTGCCTTAACCAGTACACCACCTGCTAGCCCCTATTTATACATTTAAAAATAAAATCACCTCTACTCTCATTAAAATCTAATATCACAGGTATATTATGTATCTGTTTATGTAAATTTGATTGAACTCTAGTTTATATGACAGAATTTCTCAAGTTTCCCTCCATTCACTCTAAAGAAAGATTGTCTGTGTCAGATTCCTTTATTACAGAGATTTTTTCCCAAAGTTAAGTTTACTCCATTTAAGTTTACTGCAACACATGTCTGTAGTGTTTTTTGAGATAAATTTAACTTTCTTTTTTTTAATTTAAATTTACTTATTTACATTCATTCACTGTACATC